GATTTTTCAGACATTTATTTTCTATTCTTTGCTGGTGCAGTTTAGGTGCAGACTCCAGCCTGGCTTGAAAATACAACCCACTGTACTGGTGTTTGTAGAGAAAATAAAAATTCTGATATGACATTTGGGGTGGGGATGGGAAAGGCCAAAATTCAAAGATTGAATAGGTTGGGAGACACAAGATTTTCCCTGAAAAGCTAATTTGTTCAATGGGCTTCATATATACATTCCTTTGCTCCTACAATAGTACTGTATCAAAAAATAAGTAGTAATTTCAAGTTTCCTGTGAATTCCAAGCCAATAGTGCCTCAGCCAGATCCCTGATTTTGACATGTACCTCTAGAACAATACAGAAAGTCTTGTTTTGGCATTGTATTGGACCCATCCTGTGCACAGAGAGCTCTGCAGCTCAACATTCCTACCCCAAAAGAGACGAGCCACCTGACTCCATAAGCCTGAGCCAAAGTCAACACTGCATCTGTGGGGCTGATTTCTACTATTTCTAACCTAGTCCTCTTTCTGATGATCATTCAGTGGTTTGTTGTGTTATTTAAATAATGTGATGGTCATTGTTTGGAAGACCCAAGTATGGGTTGCCATGCCAAGCAGTCTGCAGCACATGTGTACTACTCTCCTGCCACCATGCAGCACACTATCAGCCTCTTCACTGTCCTGAAAACTAAATAACTGTGAAAGCAGCAGATTTGACTTGCTTTATTTCCTGCAGAATACATATTCATGGGCTGCAAACCTCCCAAAAAGCAACGCTTGCATACCCTCCAGCTTCCATGAATATTAGTCTGGCTTGTTGTTGTTCTTAATATTCATTAATAGGCTGCTTGCTTTCCCAGAGTCTGTCATCTGTTTGGGGAAAAACAAACTATCTTGTGATTTAAGTGACCAATCAGCAATGCAAACTGAGTGGCCAAATGAACTATGGTTTAAAGATTAATTGAAGTAAATTATGTACACGCTCTGCACAGGCACCTCCTGTCACACTTGCACACCTCAGAGCCTGGTGTGGCACCTTTCAGGAGAGCTCAGTTCTGATCTGAAGAAGAGAATGGGTCCTTTAAAGCCTGGGCTTTACTCTTTGTTGGGAGTGAAGCACACCAGCATTGCTTCTCATAGTAGAAAGAGTAAGACTCTTGCACCATGACTTGGCAGTGCTGTGTTAATGGTTGGACTTGATCATCTTAAAGGTCTCTTCCAGCCAAAATGATTCTGTGATGACACTCTCACTGAACCCCAAATCTACCATAGGTGACTGACAGTACCTTTCAAAACAGCTGTAACTTTATTAGCCGTAGAGTCTTTCTGGCTGTAACCAGTGAAGTCTTCTCCCCAGCTTTGTCCAGAGCAGGACCCCAAACCAGGGCTGAATGTTGCCAGGACCAGTCAGAACGGAGTTGAGGAGAAATGTTAAGTTCTTAAAATAGCCCATGAACCTTGCTTGGAAGTCAAGCTAAAAGGAAATACATCTGCTAGAACACATCACTGTTCAGCACACTCATCTATCATGTGCTCTGTAGCAGCCTTTGGAGAGAGGTGGTTGATGCTCCTGGCTCTCATACACTCCCCATGTAAACAGAGCAATTTCTTCTCTCCCAAGACACCCCTGACACGCACGGCTGCAGTGCAGGAGAAGCCTGTTGTTATAGTTACTGGCTATGACTTACCCCTGCCATTGTCATGGTGCTTTCAGTAAATGGCACTTAAACAGCAGTCTAGCAAAGGTTTGCAGAATAATCACTGCCTGCGTTCCCTTAATAACAGGACATGAGTGTCTCTGTTGCCTGGGCTCTTCATCCATTTCTCCCTGCCCCTTACATCATGAATGAGACCCATTCTCCTGCAGGAGGAGCAAAACAAAGGTCACTTCTTATCTAGGAATTGATTCTTACTTCTCCCTGGAAAGGTCATCACAGAGGGGAAAAGCAGAGCTCTTCCCCTCGGGCTGCTCTCGAGAGGCAGGCATGGGGTGCCCAGCACACACCAGCTTTTAGAGACTCTGGCTGGTGAGCCAAAGGGCTCTGCAGGTCAAGTGTGTGAGAGGCCATGGTTTGCTACCTTGTTTGGGGTCTTTCTTTTGCTAGATACAGTCACTGTAACCTGACAAGAGGCTGGCATAGTGCAACCTGTAATGCTTTTGGTTGGGATTGAGGTTTGATAATAAGGTTGTGGGGATGAGTGAAGATTCATGCTGGCAAAAGGGATGATGCTGAATGATGCTGCTCAGCTGATTTTAAGATGCAAAGACAACAGTTAACTGAGCTGACGTGAACAGACACAAACAGGAACAGCTCTTCATGCCTGGCAGTCAGAGAAACAAGACTGGTATGGAGTCAAATCATGACCTCTCAGAGGCAGACAGCAGGAAAATGGGAAGCAGCAGCTTTTCAGTGGATGAAGGTGATGTACTGAAGGGTTAAGAGACAGCAAGCAGAAGATAGAATCATAGAATCATTTAGGTTGGAAGGGACCTCCAAGATCATCAAGTCCTACCATTGAGCCAGCACCTCTGCCCAGAGCAGAGTGAAGAGGAACAGCCAGCCCCTAATTGGAGACAGGCTGCTAGGCACCAGCCAAGGTGCTGCCTTCACACAGGTCTGTTCAGGCAAACTGAACTTGTGTACATTCAACAAAGAGATTATACTCAACCTTATATATATATAAAGTGCTGTGACACTATCTTACAAATTTCTCAGCCAGACAGAAACTGTTCCATGAAGTGTGATTTATTTTTTTGTTACTCCTCAACCAAAAAAGTAGGTCTTCTGTATGGTGTAGAACATACAAGTAGCTGATTAGGACAAAGCTGTGCTCAGCTGATTTCTTGGGTGCCTTTTGTGAAAGCAATTAGGTTTGGGATTCCCAAAGGACTGAGAAAGGGTCCAGCAAAGATAATTACCAAACGTATCTCGACACTGCTGTGGCATTAGCATCAGGAACTTGGGTTCTGAAACCCCTCCTATATTAGCTTTGTGATTTGACAAGCCAACCAACTTTGTCCCAACTTTGCTTAACTACCCACTTCTTTCCATGTGATGTCACTATAAATGAAAGAAATGTTAATTACCATCACTGCATGCACAACCAGTGAAACTGCTGAAATGGAAGTCCAGTCCTGCAGCCCTCTACTAGCCAACAATTCCTGCAATCTGCAGGAGAGGCTGAACCACAGCCAGCAAAGTTTTTTACATAGGATCTTGCATCACGCCAGGACTAGTCTAAAACGTACTGATGAAATCTGGTCTGCTAACAAACCTTGTAAATAAAGCTGAAACTGGCACTGCATCTCTTCTCCTACACACATGTTCACCTTCAAGTTGTAAAAAGCAGCAGAAACAGACCTAGCTACAGAAGGATAGCTGCACACTGGCATAAGGAAAAATAAACCAGACCTACTAGAAAATGTTATGACTGAACTAGAGATGTTGGAGCTGAATTTCAGCTGCAATAGATCAGCCTCATTTCCGGGAGCTCTATCTCTTTCTAGTTAAGTCAGCAAGGCTGTGAATTTGAGTGGACACAAGTTTTGGTATTCAAAAGATCTTACAGAAATCCACATGAGTCCCATCGGTTGCTTTCCATGACATTGCAAGAGAAACATGTCATTAACCTGCAATAATTACTGGTAGTTCATGCTACTAAAAAAACCTTTTCTTCTGTTCTACTTTCTGTCCTGTTGGACTAGAGGGTAGTCAAACTTTCTGGCAGACCAAGGAAAAAAAAATGGCTCATTCTCCATCTCTGGTCTATATTTTGCTACTTCGATTTTGTCAGACTAAAGCCTAGTACTAACATTTCAACTTCTAGGTCTGATAGAAGACATTCTTAACCTCTCTAGTGCTTAAACCACACCTTGGAACCACACTGCTACAGCATGCAGGATACTGCTCTTTCCACTTAAGTTGAACACTCTAAGTGTTGTCAGTGTTGATGCTTATTATTTGCTTTGGCTACATAAAATCACTATTGAAAAACTAGGTACTCAGGGGCCTATCCACTGAAAACATTTTTTGTCTATGACTGGTATTAATCATTTTCTACTTCCACAAACAGAGGGATGTTTTCAAGCAGACTTCAAAATAAGACTTGATATATAATGATTATCCAAGTTTTGAATGTTCCTTTCTTAATGATTATCCAAGTTTTGAATGTTCCTTTCTAAGGAGTGAAAAATTGTCTAAGCATGCAAAAATAGTGGTTAGTAATATCTATAAACTGTTCCAGTTATTTACAGGAGTACTTGCAAATGAAAAGAAGCAAAACCAAAAAAGTTAGGGGCAGTGTGATATGTGACACTTGCAGTGACAGGATCCAGACTGTGGTTTTTCACAGAGATCCTTATGGCTTTGTAGCTAAGGATTCTTCCTGCAAGTCCTAGCTGCTCAGGGCTCAGATACACAGCAGAGATATAGCTGATGCTGTGCTGCTGTGTACTGCCTCAGCACTTCTGAATTAGAGCTCTCTGGAGATGGAAACTAAGATGACAGGTCTGTCCTATGCCCAAGTACTGAAACCAAGTAGGCTGCTTGCTTACAGTTATTTATAAGCTTGTGTGTTTTCAGGATTTAGTTAGGAAAAGCAATTTCACTTAATACCAGCACAACAGCATCGCAATAGTTCATATTTATAGATCGTAATATAATTTCAGACAGCCCCAAATTCCTCTACAAAGTGCGTGTCTGTAAATCAACCTGTAAATCAGTAGGGTCACAAGCACTGTAAGACTGGAAAGAACACTGAGTGAAATTGAAAACGCTGAGTATTAAGCCAGACTGGAAAGTTATCATCCAAACAGCTCTGCCCACGTCTACTCTGGGCATTTAAAGCAATGGACTTCCATTAAGGGCCTTGTTTTATGACTCCTGCACGGCACCTCTGTGCAGTCCCACTCCCCCAGTGCGGGGTAATAGCTTAAAAACTGAACTGGAGCATTTGACTAACCTGTTTTTCACCACTTGGCTTCCTGTAGTTCAGCAGCAGCTCCACGGCTCCCACCACCTCCTTCCGTATCGCGTACAGCAGAGCGTCCCCCACGTACACGCTGTGGCTCAACAGCAGCTCCATGATCTCCAAGTTCTCGTTCTCTATGGCTATTAAGAGGGCGCTGCGACCGAGAGGATCCATGCAGTTGATGTTGATGTTGTAGTAGATCTCTGCCTCTCGCAGGGCGTGCTCCACGCTGGCGTAGTCGCCCTTCTCCACGGCGCTGAGGTAGGCCTTCTCCTCGGCCGAGAGCTCCGCCTCCGCCCGCACGATCTGCAGCGGGATCCGGTCTCGGTACGGGGAGAAATTCACCTTCTTGTAGTACAGCTGGGCCATGGTTCATAGTGCCCGGGCAACCTGCCGGGGGAGAAGAGGTGTGTG